TATATGTATCTAAATTCTACTGCATATCGATCGTAGTTCAAAGTAGATAGAAACTTTTTTTTGCATTTATATTCTGATCGCACTCCATAAGGTAGCATAGCCAGCGCGAATAGCATATTTAGTATACGCTCATGGAACTGTTTTTATCAATATAACATCAATATAAGAGGAATCTTTATTTCATATATATATATGCTATGATCTAAATCGAAATTTGATCAATTAGTATGTTCTTTCGGACGAAAATGTAGTTCGAGTTTTGACCAGATTACTTTTGAACGAAATTAGAATTGAACTCGAAGTAAATTGTTCTAATTAAAAACAGCTAAAGTTTAAATCAACAAAGATGTGAGTTTGGATTATATATGGAACCGATCGGATGGATTTATCAGGCTAGATGGGGCTGATCAGAATACAAATACAACCGATCTACCGATAACCGCCCGGTATCGGACTGGATCAGTTTAGACGGACTAGTCATCGATTCCGATTCTATATATGCTGTAGAGTATGTGGATTAGGAGAAGACTCATACCATAAGCATTGGAAATAAGCCTTTCCAACCTGCCATTATAATATAGAAGACTTTCTTGAAGGAACAAGGCACTTCCTTTTATTCATTAATTTCTCAAAAATTTGTCAACGCACCCTCATATGGGGTCAAAGGGTGGAACTGAAGATTCATTATTGAACTATCAAATGTAGAGTTTAATTCTGGAGAAAATTTTGTAAGTGCTCAATTGAACAGAAGAAACACTAAGATAATTTTAAATTAAAAAAGAATTGTACAGATCTATTATAAAAGGCTTGCTTCGGTGTTTTTAGTTCTTCTTTCATTGCAAAGCAGCTTATCTCAAATATTTCATCTAAAATTCTGAAATATACATCCAATGATGCAGAATTCCATGAAGAATTTTGTGACATTCTTGAAATTCTAGTCAAACTTTTCATTAAAAAAACCTTCCTGTATATTTAGAGTGTTTTTGAATGTCACAGTTGAGCAATTGAATGAATGTTCATTTTTCAAGGTTGAAGCTAACGAAGAATACGTGCTTGAAAAGTCAAATAAACAGTTTTGTAGACCATCAAATTCTCTATCTTTTGGTATGTATGTTTTTAAGATCATCAGATGAGAGAAAGAATCACTGATGTTTAGTACAATTTCACTTGGGACATTGGTTACAATATATATTATTCCAAAGTGAAATCAGTATTAGCGGTTTTGAATCTGATCCGACGGATTGAGATAAAATAGTGCAAATGAAAATAAAATAATTACAATTCTGCACATTGACTATATCCATTCTTATTACAGAGTAACATGTTGTTTGATGACAATTGAAAATTTTCTTTAATCATTCTCAATAATTGAATTTTTCCACGAAAAGATAGTAACTTATAAAAAAGAAACACAAATTAATGTGTTTCTTAACCACGAACAATAATTGAATTTTCTAACCAATAAAACTCAGTAAACATTTCAGTATCAATTCAATTAGAAGAATCATAGTCATCATCAGATTTTCATTAAAGAAAATCTAAACGAACCAAATGAAAGAATATTAACTTGAGAAATATCTTGTAGATATTAAAATATTGTATTTTGACATTTCAAGAATAAAAATGAATGCTTTAAAAAAAGTTCTAAAAGAAAAAAACTGTATCATTGTTTGGTTTCTGTTCGAAGATTGCAAAAACAGCATTATGATCAGTAGCATTTTGGGTATTAATAATCGAACAATCTTTTAAAATCCATGAATCATTAATACGAGGATGTACATAAATATAATCAATACGAGTTCCATATCGACATGTAGCTACTTGTTTATCTTTTAAATTTGGATTTATTTGTTTTAACGCATCTGTATATGACCATTGATTTGTTATTAATTGAGTTACATCAAAAAAGGTTTCTCCCATTTAGATGCTTTTCGTAATCCAAATACATTTTTTTCATGATAATGATTTGAATAATCATCCCATGTTAATGAATTCATATCACCCATAAGTATATCAATGTTTTTTTTTAATGGATCAAAATCTTTAATTTGTTTTAATCGATCATTTTCATTTAAATGATCTAAATGCGTAACAGCAAATATTCGATCTTTCACAAATGGATGATCACTATCTAAACAACATTGTAGTAAAGATCTTTTTCCACCTGAACAAAAAAAAACTTGTTTGTTGATTTGAGTAAGATTTTATTGGATACCGAGATGCAATACCATTACCAAAAACATCCTCTTCACATGATCCGTATATAAAATGATTTAAACCGAGAAGGGTACAGAATTGGAACCAATCTTCATCATTGTTTGCTTCTTGAACAGCAATCAAATCGAAGTTATATGGTTTAAGAATTGTTACTAATCTTTTGATACTATTTTCATGTGTCGATGGATCAGCAAAATAATGAACATTAATTGTAGCTAAACGAAATGTTGTCATTGCTACTTGACAAATTATATAATCTACATAGAAAACAAACGAGTCTTTTCTATTATTCTTTTACATCACAAAATTGATTTCAAATCTGTTAAATATGTTGCTTTTTTCTTCCTTATAATTAGGAAATAGTGGTCATCTTTACGTCTATTCTCCTCAAGGCATTTCGTCAGTTCACCTTTTGGATGCCTATCAACTACTTTTATCTAAGTGGAGATCAAAAATAGCACTTTTTGTTCATCGCTTCTTTGCAGAACTCTCAACCTCATTCACGTTCATATCCTCATCATTATATTGTGCGATTTCATTAATTTGAAAGGATTGTTATGTGATTATTTATAAAGAACAATATAAGAACAAATAATCACATCCTAATAAAGTTTTCTTTCGCTCATATTGGATTCATTTCTATACGAAATAAATCCTCAAGACAAACAATTTGAATATCTATCGACATGCGTTTGGATTACAGTATCATCTACGTTCTAGTAACCTGTTATTTAAAAAACAACAATTGAGGATGAGAGACATTCCCACCAAGGACATTTACTTTGAAGAACATTCTCACCAAGGACATGTTTAAGAGGACGAGAAGTCAAGGATATTTGCAAAAGGTCATTTATTAAAGGATGTCTCAGGTTGTGTTCCAACTATTTATCATCAATAAAAGACGTTTTGTAGCAGAAATTAGAAAATAAATGAACATCATAAACAATATTGGAACATCAATTTACATGCATACATCAACGTTTTAATACCACTTATGAAATTCAACTTTTTGCTATTTTCTGCTACAAAACAGTGCTTATATGTGATTAATGGTTGTCTTGGGCAATAGATACTTGTTTAAACGACAAAATATCTTTCTTTTTTTATCTGTGTGGGTACTATTGACTTGATTACAGTACATCTATCCTTTTATAAAATTGATTAAAAGAAGGTTGAGTATTGGAGTATATCAGTAAAAATTAAAATAAACCTAGAGTAGATTAGTTGCAGCATATGTAACTGAAAAAATTTAATCATATAGTTGTTACATGAGAAAAACTGAATGAGCTTTATGTACATTGTCAATGTTGTATATATCCTTCATAGACACATGTCTGCACGGTTATGTCTTAATGTATTATTAGAAAATAGAAGCTCTTCAATCTGTTTTTTTAAATTCTAGTGCGATATTTGTATCTAAACTTGAAACCTTATATCAGTGTTTGGCTGTTAGTTATTGTTTATATAGATAGCGCTGTGATAAATGAAATTTAAGTCATGTCACTTTTTTTTCAGCAACTGAGATACTTTTGCCCTAACTGAGACGCATGTAGGCGTAGTTGCGATAGAAAAATTTTATTTGGTCGTAACTACACGTAAGTGCATCGTAATTTTTCGTAAATTATAGGTGACAGTGCGATCACAGATATGGAGTAACCGGGTTTGTATTCTATCCTAATGGTAAACACGGATAATAAACGCATACATTAAAGCATTTTCACCTCAGTCTTCATTAGATCGTTCATATTTAAATAGAAAAAAAGAAAAGAAAATAATCTGTAAAGTGGTATCGGTTATAAACTTATTCTTACACATTTCAAAACAAAATAACTTAAATAAGTGTAAATGTTGTCGTAAAACGTCTCGTAATATATTCGTATTTGTTATAAATGGGCAAAAAGTATCGCGTGTTAGTTTAGCTTCCGTATTTTATCAGTTTGTTGTCGTTTATGGACTATCCATATTGGTCTTGTTAAGATTAAATTTCACAAACAGTTTGACGAACTTTGCCGTCAATGATAATCAATAAAAAATGTACTAAACAATTGTATTATTCTACCTGCTACATCAATTTCATCTGAACTTAGTTCTTTTCGAACTGCTGAAATTTCCCAAATATTTAACGACGCAATTATATGTTATCTGCATTGTAATATAGATTTTCGCACTACATCATCAAATATGCCAATGAAAAATATTCTTTTTTTGCACTATAGGAAAGAAAAATAAGCATCCTGTTATGTTTTTCATCATAATACTACGGCAAAACTTAATTAATTCGTTCTGATTGTTGTGGTAACTATCCATTGATATCTGCTTTTGTGAAACACAGTCTAAAAGGATTGCTAAAGTATATAGGGTAGAAATTTGCACTCTCAACCGTGTCTACGAACAGTGACAGAAGCTGTATCGATAATAGCTCGCTGCAATACACTAACTACTTCTTTATTGTATTGCTGAAGGATTCAGTAAAAGAGACTGGAGAAACGCGTTCAAAGCTATACAGCATTAAGAAAAATAATCCTGTGATTAGCAACCGGCAACGTCGCTATGAAAGTATCACAACACAATCCGTTATCCCGATCCTGGTGACGACTTCTTTGGACTCCATCTGCTAGCCAATGAACAAAGCTGATAGGGAGCATATATCGACGAACAGCCTGATAAAACAGAGTCTCTCTTCTTGGGGAAGGGCAATTCTATCGTTGGATGCAGATTAATGTGAGCTAACAATGGTCCACCTCGTTTTCTCTTGGCAAACAGATGCATGGGAGTTGTTCATCATTTTCGGTACAGATTGACATAGTCATGTAGATTCTTCGGTACGGTAGATCGTTCTTCTAGAGAGAATAGAGGTCGTCATTAGATAGCATACATGGCTTCACATCGACTGATATGCCGTTTCTTCTCGACAAACGAATGAATAGCAGCTGTAGACCATTTGGTGTGCAGATTGACATACTGATTCGATTTTTACTGCAGTTTTAGTTATTTTTTAGCATTGCAGATCCTTTGCGAGGAGAAAATCATTTAGTTTTTCGATAGAGGATCAAATGCTCCATAGGTTGATGTAGTATACATTGCCTTGATAGTGCAACTGAAGAGTTGATTCGAAGATATCCGTAAAAGTCGTGGTACAGATAGATTTGATCAGTAGTATTTTGTTGGATTTCTTGTATTTTAGATGAATTTTTGTACTAAGATGATGTTTTAGTTTGAAAGGTTGTGTGCTTTAACGATTTGAGTGTTTTCAATAAGCCTGAACATGTTGAGATTGTTTTCGGTGAACTAGGGTACAGTTTTCATCGACTATGTACAGCTGTTCGTTAATTAGCCTTGCTACTAGCTTTACATGGATACATACCACAGCTATATCGTATTTTACATGTTAATCCTGCAAGAATTTTTACACTTCTTTAAGAAGATGTTTAAGAAACATGACAAAGATCGAAGACCTTTAACAAAACGCCTTCCTTTTTTGCGCTCAATGAATATGAAAATATAATACAATTCATTGATAAATTTTTACTGCTGTTAATAAGCCTTTTTTTGTATTGGTATTTATATAAAGATCATCCGCTTTATTTAAAGTGCACGCTATTCGGAATTCTAGTACGACTTTTTCCTTCTTTTTTTTATGTATGGCTCGATAGAGACTGAGCTATTGATGAAAAAAATTTAGCTTATTAGTTGTTTGTGAATAGAGACATTCATTTGAAAAAAAAATTTCAAAACTGAGAAAGAATCGTTTTTTTTTCAAAACACACTGTATTCTCAATTTTTCGAGTTTTTTTTTAATTTTATTTTTAGGATTCAGGCTTTAGAATCGGCGTTTGAAGCTAATTAGAAATAAGCTGCTACATTGAATCCGATCCTAAAATAATGCATTCTTATAAGTCATTTTTGTAAACCTATTTAGTTTTACTTTGAAAATGATGATGCTAAATATTTTATCTCATTTAACAATGATACTAGTAGTCATGAAAGTATGAATCGTTTTTCGTTCTTCATTGTTTGCTTATTGAGAAAATTCATTTTTTTCTGATTTTCGGTTCACAACCAAGAATTTTGTCCTAATGTAATAAGATTGTCATAATCGGACTCCGAATAAAGAATGAAACGAACGTTGTATGCTTTGTAATGTTTGGTTATTTTTCATTTTTCAGTGAAAATCATTTTAGGTGAGAAGAAAAAGGTGAAATTGTTAGACAAAACAAAATTATACCTTATCGGAGTCAGTTTTCAGCGTTGAACTTGAAAAAAATAAGTTTCAGAAGCAGAGAAGAAAAAAATCACCAACACTTGAATATAAGATATTTTTTGCAAAAAGCAAATGACTATTCCTAATTTTCCGACCTATAAACGCTTCTCATAAAAAATTAAAGTCAGTTTTCCACAATCAGTAATTCAAGCTCTATCGAACTATATATAAAAAGAAGAAGATAATAGCCTTATTTGAATTTCGACTTGTGTGCACCTTCTACAAATTGTTAGTGCAATCCCTTCTCGATGGATTACAATGTAAAATACGATAGAGCTACTGCTGTTGTAACAGTGGAAATCAAACAATATATGTTTCAGTTTATGAATTCCTACCTACTATGAACGCAAAATATTAATCGTAGTATAGTGCAATGAGTGTCAAAAAAAAAAAACAATTGTTATACTAATTTCTTCAACACTCTTTTTAGATCGTATTTCAAAAAATTCTTTAACAAAGTTTTATTAATTCTAATTTCTAAACGAAAAATAAAAATTAATATGATTGATCCAAAATGATCAAAATTCATAAATTATTAATTAAAGCAAAAAACAAAAAAGCTCGAATGAGTTTTCGTGAAGTCAATAAGAGATGATGCTAAACCCCAAAACAAAATACCTCAACAAACTTTTATCGACTAGAAACATACAAGACACTATATAGAAGAGAAACAAACTGATCATGTTCTAGATTGTAATATTAATCCACAGCTGCAGTTCGACGACGCTCTATTAAAGTATGTTGCCATTCAGGTTTATCGAACTGTGAATTTGTTTGAGAAGATCCAGTTATAAATTGATGTGATTTTGAAACTGGAACAGTAGTTGGACCCTACAAACAAATATAACAAAAAAAAGAATGTTTATTCTTTTTTTTTCTTAAGCATAATATAAAGCATACCGTTTGATATCCAGATCTTTTCCATGTATTATTATTTTGATTATTTAAATATTCATTATCACTTGTTATAGAT